ATCCTCATTATCATCACCATCACCATCATCATCACCACCACCGTCAACATCACCATCATCAGCATCACCACCACCCTCACCATCACCATCATAATCACCATCATTATCACCACCACCATCCTCCTCCTCCTCCTCATCCTCCTCCTCCTCGTCCTTATCATCACCATCACCATAGCCATCACCATCAACATCATCACCATCACCACCAACACCAGCACGACCATCGTCATCATCATCATCAGCATCATCATCACGATCACCACTATCAGTACCATCATCACTACTATCACCAGCATCACCATTACGACCACCTTCACCCTCACCATCACCATCATCATCACAATCACAATCACAATCACAATCATCATCATCATCATCATCATCATCATCATCAACACTACCATTATCATCATCGTCATCATCATCACCGTCAACATCATCATTCTCATCATCATCAACATCATCGTTATCATCGTCATCAGCGCCATCATCATCATCGCAATCACCATCACCACCACCACCACCATCGTCATCGCCATAACAATCGTTAATCTCCTCGTCATCATCATCGCCATCGTCGTCGTTATCCTCATCATCATCATCCTCATCCTCATCATCATCTTCATCATCTTCATCATCATCATCATCACCATCATCATCACCGACATCATCAGCATCATAATCACGGGTTTTCTCCACCTCCTCCTTCTCTTGCTCCTCCTCCTCCTTCCCTCGTGCTCCTCCTACCCTAGGCATGCAGAAGAAATTGTATTCGGCTCCAGCGCCACCTTCCACGCGCCGCGCAGCATCGTCAAGGCCCACTGCCACTGCCCGCCGTTGGCGCAGGCAGCGATGCAAGCGCTGTAGCAAATCCGCCGACCCTGTCGGCGTGTGGAAGAGGCTCTTTCATTCGTAGCTTTTCCGTTCGTCGTCTCCTCGTCGTCGTCGTCGTCGTCGTCGCCATCGCCGTTCCGAGCGTTCTCCTGGGTCTCCTCATCCAACGCGCCAGCCATTGCCTTACCCTAAATCCTAAACCCTAAACCCGAAACCTCTTACCCTGGATCGCACATCCGTCGTCGCCGTCGTCGTTGTCCTCGTCGTCGACGCTGTATTCGATGCGGTTCTCACGAGGGGAGAGATGATCTTTATGGTGGGGTGGCTTGCGGGTGGGATTGACGGCCACCGCAGGTGGGTTCGTGGGCAAGTTGTAATCGTGGCCAAGCCTGTTAGACCCTAAACCCTAAACCCGAAACCTCTTACCCTGGGCCTTCGTCTTCAAGCGTGCCCAGCCCAAACGACAACGACGGACGTCGTTCGAAGTGAAGCCCCTTCCTTTCTCTCCCTTTGATCCCTTCCCTGCCCGGGGGGGGGGTGGTCCCCGGGGGGTGTCCCTCGGGAGGGGGGGTGTCCTGGGTCAGAATGCCCCTCCCCCCCGGGGGTCCCAAAGCCCCACGCCCCCCAAGACGAACCAAGACTGCCCCAAGAGGCTCCCAAGACGGTCCAAGAGGGCCCCGAATCGCCGAACTATCGGTCCAAGACGCCAGCCAAAGTAGCCTCCAGACGGCCCAAGAGGTTTCCAAGTCGCCCCTAGAGGCCTCCAAGAGCACTCCCAAGAGGCCCCAAGAGGCAAACATTATTCATGTTCCTAAGGTTTTTGATAGATTTTGGGGTTCTCGCCTTTTCGGCTTCCCGACGCTCCAAGACGGTCCAAGAAGCCCCCAAGATCGCCCCAATGTGACCCAAGAGGCTTCCGTGAGGGCTCCAAGACGATCCAAGAGGCCCCCAAGACGGCTCATGAGGCCTCCAAGACGGCCCAAGAGGCCCCCAAGACGGCTCCAAGAAAGTGCCCAGACGGGGGACCCGAACGGACATTTCGAGCCCTCAGCCTGAGAGGCTCCCAGGAAGCGCCAGGAAGCCCCCAAGACGCCCCCAAAAAACCCCCAATCTGCTCCCGGGAAGCCCCAAGAGGCCCCCAGGAGCTTCCCAAGCCCCCAAGAGGCCCCACCCCCCAGAGGCACCCGAGAGCGCTCCGAAGAGACCCCAAGGAGCATCCCTGAAGACTCTGACCCACATCAATATCGTCGTCGTCGTCGTCGTCGTTCGGGGTCGGCGGCACCGGCCATAAGGCCTCTCCAATTATGTTCGTCTCCAAAAAAGCTTCGTGTAAGTCGCTCAACAACAATGACGCTTGCCGCCAGTGCCCGCCTTTCGCACACGCGCTGACTCCAGCCGAATAGCTGATGGCATCAGGTTCTAAGGCACTTGCCGACACCTCGCTCAACAACAACAACGCCTGCTGCCATTGTTTGCCCCTCCCGCATGCGCTTATCGCAACATTGTACAAAATTGTACACAGTTGCATGCGCGACCGCACGGTATCTCGGAACAGCGCCAGCGCGGCAAGCCACTGCTTCTTGCTTCCATAATTCGTGATAGCGGACTTGACAGACGCGACCCGTTGTTGAGCTGGTTGTTTCACACATCTGAAGCTCAGCACCATGACATGACTCACCGGTTAAATATGATGTGAGGCGCTTGCGTTAGCATCGGCCAGAAAGGTACCCGTATCAGCAATTCGCCGACCCCTTGGGGGTTCCTCGGCGCGTGAGATAGTTGCCCCTCCCGACCTAAGACAAAGGCAGAATCGAGACAAAATCGGACCAATACAAATCGAAGATCTCTGAGGATCGGCGGCTTTGGAGGACGTCTCGGGCGCTGCGGCCGTCATAGAGCGTTCCAGGACGCTCTGAGAGGGGTCCAGAACGCTCTGGAGCGGACTTATCTCGATTCTACGCCCGCCCGACAATCCTAGGGAGCACACAAAAGACGTACGCGCCCAGCTACGTACACGAACACGGCCCCTCGACCCGCGAGACCCGCCGCGCGATACGAACATTCGCGCCATGCGAACTCTCGAAACCAGCGTGGATTCATGTACACCCTGCGAAATGCTTTAGAAATCATGGGTTAAGAAATTCAGAGTCTCAGAATCTGAATAAAAAACCCAGAATGTCTATTCAAATCTTAGGATTTACACTGAAACACTAAGAATGATCGAGACTCTGGCCGAAACCTTGGGTTTTCTTAAGCATCGCCTAGAGTGTACATGAACGTCCTTCCTTCGCTCCTGAAATCCCCCTCTCCCGGGCAGCTCGGGCCAGCTGGTCTGGAGGGTGGGTGGGTGCCGGAGGTGCGGAACTCGCCCGGCTCAGAAGAGCTCCCCGGCGTGCCAACACTGCCAACACACAAGCCTCGGGACGGTCCGCCGCTGGTGCTCCGGGGGCGGCCCGAGATCGGGGCCGTCCAAGAGAGGAGCATCCAAGAGGGGGGGGGCGCAAATCTGAAGGAGCCCTGGGACACGCACAAATAAGTAGGCACAAACAACAGGATTTCCCACATGTTCCCATATTTTGGGGTCTTTTGTCTTCCCCCCCACTTCCCATATTTTCCCACATTTTCCTGGGAGTCTACGAGTAATTGTGTCTGTGTGTTTTTTCCCCTCCTGAGAGAGGAGCACCCAAGAGAGGAGGGCGCAAAGCATGGTGTCTGCAGGGGGGGGCCCGAGACGCACTGGCATAAGAGGAGGCGCCATGAAGTCTGGGGAGGTGTCATGGCCACCCTCCCTATAGGGCAGTTTTTAATATATAGGATTTTTTTTTGAAAATGCAGGATTTTAATACATGATTAATTTATGAAAAAATGTATGCATGAACTCATCGTTGTTTTTAACACCAATTCCTTGCATTTTCCATACATGATCCGCACGCGGAGCATGTATTAAAAACCGCCCTCTTGGCCGCCCCCGACAAGATAAGCTCAAGGTGGCCCCACATGGCCTCAGCACGGCCACAAGGGCTCCCAAGATGGAGGCGCGAACTGGAATGACCTCCAGTCCGTGCAGGTCGTCTACGCTGACTATTACGCGCCACCGTGCGGTAGGCACTAACTGGAGTGTCCTCAGGTCCCTTCGAAGTCTGTGCCCACTATTGCAAATGGCATTTTGACCCCCTCGGGCCCAAATATCTGAGCATTCCTGAATACTTTCAGGGCGACTCGCGTGCCGTTTTCAGAGGCCTCGTGAGCGTGGTTGTAACTCCATACTTCCTACAAGGCATAAGATGAACCCAAGTCCCGTCCTGGAGCTCTCTCGGACCGTCTTGGAGGATCCTGGAGCCGCCTTCGAAGGGCAACATCAGTGAACAAGCTTAGCGCGTTCAATGCTTTTAGCTTTCTGGCCTTTTCGTTCTTAAGGGCGCCCAGGACGGCCCAAGACGTATAAATGCAAGATCGCCCCTGAACGGCCTCCAAGACCCAAGAGGGGCCCAAGAGTCCCACAAGATGGCCCAAAAAGCAAAAACACTGACATTTCGAGCCCTCCACTCCAAGATGGCCCCCGAGACCGCCAGAAGGCCCCCAAGAGGCTCCCAAGAGGCCCCAGTAGGTCCCCAAGAGGTCCCCCAGAGGCCCCTAGAGGCCCCCAAGATGCCCAGAAGAAACCCCTCTTCGAGGAGATCCCTAACAGACCCCAAAGCCCTCACACGAGGCACACAATAGGTCTCTGGTTCAAAACCCCGGCACGAGGGCGGGATAGGCTGAAGTCCACTAGATGAATCATCAACCACCGTGCCTTAAGCGAATTGGGGCGTGGTAGAGTGCTCCTCTGCTGTCTGGTAAGGTTCCCCAAACAGTGCTTGCACTTAGGGGCTATTACTTTCCTCCCTAAGAAGCCTGTTGGGTCTGGCGAATACTTCCCACGTTGCCAGCCCGATGCCGCCTCGTACGCCCGGTGGGTCCAACGAGGCTTTTGCCGCCTTGCTGCCGCAGCGTGCGCTAGGTGGGCCCCGAGAAGTTTCGCCACATTGCCGCCCGTTGCCGCTTCTTTGCCGCCTCGTGCGCTGGGTGGGCGGGTCCAACGATGCCCCAAGAGGCCCCCAAACGGCCCCCAAGAGGTCTCCAAACTGCCTCCAAGAGGCCCCCGAAGGGCCTCCCGCGAGATCCCAACGAACATCCAATAGGCTTCATACCCACAACCCAAGCACGGTCGCGGGATGGGCCGAAGGCTATGAGACCTGGGCCGGCACGGGAACGGAAAGAGCGCTTCAGCAAAACCTGCCGGAGATGGCTCATGGCACCCTTCGCTCTGGGGAGCCTTGGTGGTAAGAGGTTGCGTCACCGCTCCTCGTTCTTGGGAGCATTGCTAGTAAGCGCGTGTTACGTCACCGCTCTCTGTTGGGAACCTTGCTGGGAAGAGCCTGTTGCGTCACCGCTCTCTGTTCAAAGTCCTCGTGCCCAGATATGCTTACGTTGCCGCTCGCTCTTGGGAGACTTGGTGGTAAGAGCTTGTTGCGTCACTGCTTCCTCTTGGGAGCCTTGCTAGCAAGCGCATGCTACGTCACCACTCTCAGTTGGGAGCCTTGCTCCTCCTCCTCCTCCTCCTCCTCCTATCATTATTATTGTTATTGTTATTGGTAGTTATGATTATTATTCGTATTATTACTGCTATTATTATTAATACGACGACTACTACTACTACTACTACTACTACGACTACTACTACTAGTACTACTAGTACTACTAGTACTACTAGTACTACTAGTACTACTAGTACTAGTACTAGTACTAGTACTAGTACTAGTACTAGTAGTACTAGTACTACTCCTCCTACCTCCTACTACTACTAGTACTAGTACTAGTACTAGTACTACTACTACTACTATTATTATTATTATTAGTATTACCATACTTATTATTCGTATTACTATTCTTCTTTTCTTATTATTAACTAGTACTAGTAGTAGTACTAGTACTAGTACTAGTACTACTACTACTACTACTACTATTATTATTGTTATTATTATTAGTATTACCATACTTATTATTCGTATTACTATTCTTCTTTTCTTATTATTAATCTTCTCAGTTGTACTATTAATATTGATATTCGTATTCGTATTATTAGCAACATTCGTATTACTATCATTATTCTTATTACATTATTATTAGCATTATTATTATTACTATTATTTTTATTATTACTATATTATTGTGAATATTCATAATATTAGTACAGTTAGTAGTATTAACATGATTATTATTGTTCTCCTCCTCCTCCTTCTCCTCCGCTGCCTCCTCCTCCTCCTCATCCTCCTCCTCGTCCTCCCTCTTTCTCCTCCTCCACCTCCTCCTCCTCCCTCTTTCTCCTCTTTCTCCTCCTCTTTCTCCTCCTCCTCCTCCTCCTCCTCCTCCTCCCCCTGCCTCCTCCTCCTCCCTCGTCCGTCCTCGGGCCCGTCTGGGCCTCTCTACGCCAGCGTGGAGGCCGTGGAAGCCGTCTGCATACGTGCAGATGTTCGAACTCGTCTTGGGGCCGTCTTGGAGGTATCTTGGGCCATCTTGGGGCGATCTTACGGGCCTCTGGCCTCTTGGGTCGTCTTGGAGGCATCTTGGACCGTCTTGGAGCACGCTTGGCCTCTCAATGGGCTGTCTCGAAGGTCCCTCAAGATGACGAGGACTTTACGCGCTTACGCGAAGCCTACGCGGAGCTTACGCGGAGCTTACTTTGCCGCCCGTTTCGGGCCCTGGTGTCAAGAACTGGTTACGTCTCCGCTCTTTGTTGGGAGCCTTGGTCGTATCAACTTGTTTACGCCACTGCTCTCTCTTGGGAGCCGCGGTGTCCAGGGTCCGTTAACGGTCCGTTAACAAGGAACTCTTTTCCCTGTGAACGGTCCGTTAACTGGGAAAAACGCGTCCGTCACCCGATTTTCCTTGTTAAGTCCTTGGAACGGCTCCGTTAACAGGGAAAAGGGTGCCCGAGCGTCCGTCACCGATTTTCCATGTTAAGCACCCGATTGCCCTGTTAAGGGCTCCGTTAACAAGGAAAAGGGGTGGATTTTCTATGTTAAGCATCCGATGTTCCCTGTTAAAGGCTCCGTTAACAAAGAAAAACATGCCCGAGCGAAAACAATCCCTGTTACCGGTCCGTTAACAAGAAACGGGCGAGCCAACCGATTCCCTGTTAACGGTCCGTTAACGAAGAAACGAACATTTCCCTGTTAACGGTCCGTTAACAAAGAAACGGGCGGGCGAAACATTTCCCTGTTAACGGTCCGTTAACAAGGAAACGGGCGGGCAACAAAAACAGACTTTCCCTGTTAAGGGCTCCGTTAACAAGGAAAAGCATGGGAAACACAGGGCTGGCCATTAGATCCCGCAATGCAAAAGCCACCCCCTCACACTCCCCCTAATGAATTCCGTCCGACTAACGGATAGCACGCTACGCGCGCTTTCCGTCATCCGCGGGGACAGCAAAGATGGCCCCAAGATGCCTCCAAGACGGCCCAAGATGCACCCAAGACGGCCTAATATAGTCTAAGGATGGCCTCAGACGGCCCAAGAGGCCCCCAAGAAGCCTCCAAGACGGCCCAGGAAGCCTCCAAGAGGTCCCCCAGGAAGGCTCGAAGAGGCCCAAATCATCGAGCTTCCTTAGGTCTTTGAAGGAGTTTG